TATTGATCGAGAATTCACCAAATTTGATTCGCCGCCAAAAACAAACGAAGAAATGGTCGCATTTATCAACAATTTAAGAGATGATAAAATTATTGGATCCACTCCTAAACAAGACCCAATGAGTTTCATCAGTCAACTTAAAACGTTATTTTCATATCAATTAGCCGAACATTGGGCGTAACGATGAAGCGAAGAACAGAAAAAAGAAGAAAACTCACCAGAGACAAATCTTTAATTCATATCATTGTAGAAATAATTATTTTTTTAATTTAAATTTTTAAATTTTTTTTTTCTTGTTATTCACCGATTCTGAAGTGATGCTCATTTCAAATTTTTCGCACCCAATATTTAACGATTTCGACCCTTCGTACGCACGAGATTCGGACAATTATTCGCAGTATCCTCCGTGGTTTATTCTGCTTGAATTCCACCGACAACGTTACAAGTTGATGAGAACGATGGTCCAATTAATATGGTAATAAACATATAAATTTATAAATTTAACGTTGTTAAAATTTTTATTTTTTATAATATACGTCTAAGTATAATAAAGAGTGCGCTATGCATGTTGTCATATGCGTGTGCGCGAAAAATATATCTTGGATAGGTAGTGGATCTGATGACGGTGAAAAGTGGGGTAGAGTGTCTGGGGCGGGAGACGGGTCTGCATGGTTCATGTATGATTTCGGCAGCGGCCGCGGATTAAATAAATTATTGATAACAATAAAAACATAACAATGATAACTGATATGGTGCTCGGGAGCGGGCTATGTCGGCGGCGGGCGAGTGTGGTCGGTGGTGGGAGGGCGAGTTTGATCGTCTTCAGGCCGCCGAGGGCGAGGTTTCTGAATCGGCTATTTCATACTTCTGTCGACAATTGGCAGTTTTATCGTCCGTTATACGGTCTCGCGCTATCATTGCCGTCGCCGCCGTAGTCGTACGCGCCTCTTAACATCGCACGAACAATACGCGATCTATTACATTTATATATAATAATAATAATAATAATAATAATAATAATAACCACCATATATTATACGATTTAATGCGTAATAGAATAACGCGTCGACCACGGTGCCGGCGAGCGTTCGTTATTTAATGCGTTCCATTCGCGCGTTTACCGCGGGGAGGTGCGCGTACCTATGTGTCGCGCGAGCGTAACCGTAGCTAATAATCGTAATAACCGTATAAAATACATAATATACTTACCGGGCGAAGAGAATATTATCGCGGCACGGTTACTATTTCTGTATATTTTTATACCCATATACCTATGTGTACGTTATAATAATATAACGCGCGTATCATTTATTCCACCGCGGGACGAGACTCGCCGGACATAATAATATATTATATCATATAATATTATCGTATAATAGTGCGCGCCCGCCCTCGTCGTTTGGCAGCACAATGGCCCGGACGGCCTGTACATGGGTGCAGGTACCGCCGCATTGACCGTTTCGCGTGATTTAATATATTATTATTATTATTATTATTATGTAGATCGAACGAGGAATACTACGCCGCCATCGCGCTCGGATCCAGCGATCATTATTAGTTTGAATGCGTATTGCGTACACGATATACATAGCTATTATTATACTATTATTACGTATATAATATATATCCGCCCGATCATGTGCGGACGACGACGACGACGATAACATCGTCCTCCTCGGACTCGTCCAGATACTGAAACCGTCCGAGGTTTACGCGTCGAGTCATCTCACAGCACGTTTCGGTAGAAAAAGAGATATTTTCGTTTTATTTTGGTGATTGAAAGCAATACGCGATATATTCTGGGGCACATTGGCGCGTGAGGGTATCGAGAACTTTGCCGATGGTCCGGTCTTCGTGTAAATCATATTATTAATGTTTTTATGACGATAATAAACTTTACGTAATATAGTTTTTTGTTCTCGAAACAACAACAACAAAAAAAAAAAAAACTTTGAAAGGGAAAGCAGTTATTATACAGGTGTCGGTTGTTTTAAATGTAAACTCTTTGAAATAAACACAATAGTTATATCATATCACGGCTCATTCCTTCTCAGTGATCACTCGAATTAGTCGAATTATTGCGATCACGCGGAACCTGTTGACTAAATAAATAACAATTTGTCAAATGCGAGGCTTAAAAACGACAACGACATAGATGTAGGTACGCGTGTGCAGTTCGCGAGGCGCTGAGACGTGAGCACGTTTTCATTTTTCATCGCGAAAGCGTTTCGACTGTAATGTCTAATAACGAACTCGCCCAAATTAGACGACCGTCCCACCCGCATAATATTACGGTAACAATAATAATAATAATAACGATCGCTGCGCGGAGGCGCGTCGGATCGCCTGTTCTCGCGGTGGTCGGCGAGACGGGACTTTTACTCGCACCGCGAACGATGTGTGCCAGTTATAAATTATAGCTTTATAATGTTATATACTCAAACCGTATGCGTAATGACTCGGAGTCGACCGGAAATGGGTGCCGGCAAATTTTTGGCATACCTACCGCGGCCAAATAAGACCACATACAATATCATGTACATGCTGTACAGTGTACAACCTATTATACGTATATATACGCTTAACGACTCATTGCCTCGAGTGTGCGCGTTAGCATTATTATAGCTATATCGGTATTAAATAGGTCCTAAGCTGCGGGCCTTTCACTTTCCACCGTTTGACTCCGGCGCGTTGATCGATCGTTTCTTTTGAATAATCGGTATTTTTTAGCCACTTCGGTACGTCGGCACGTTCTCGCCGGCGACCGACGGTAGAACGGGCGGACGTCAAGAGCTCCGACAAATTTACACGCCATAATAATCGAAATATTATTATAATATTATATTATAGAGTGTTGCATAGTGTTTAGAATAGTATATCTATATCATTTTATGTCATGATTTATGTTTCGTTCGCGCGATGGTCAATCTCTCGAGAAGCTCGTCATAATATATGTACGATGACGCGTTTGCACGGTTAATCAGCGTCCACAAATATTTGTACGTTCTTTCCGGTTCGTGTCGTGTGCAAAATACCCGCGTGTCGTTGCAGATTTCGCAACGACCCGCGGGCACTGGCGATGACGACGTTGACCTCCGATTTATTTAGGGTATATTATTAAATTATTAATCATGGGTAGGTATCTCGTACTTAGAAAAAAAAATAATAATAACGTATGATATTATATCATGATTAGCTAAACATAAATAAGTACAATTCATACGATATAGTTTAAATTTTTGTAAAAAATACATGAGATAAAAAAAAATAGATAGAAATAAGAAAAGCGATAAATAAAATAATTCCATAAGTCTAAAGTTTAGACTCTTAACGGTAAGCTTTAAAATAAAAACCCCATACAAAATGCAAAATTATCTAATTAAAATATTTAATGTTACTTTAAATTTTAATCATACTATTTAGTAAACTATGGTATATATATCATCATCTAAAATCGTTCATCGTATTCAATTGATGTATTATATATTATCGTCTGTATTATTCCTCTTCTCATTAAGTTCACTTACCACGTAGGTACACATAATACCATTTCGAGACCTCAAACTCATACCAAAATAACCGCAGCTAATTTATCTCGTCTTAAGTGTTATTTTCAAAATTCCAATAAATTGTATCTAACTACAGAGAAACCTCTATTAATAAAAACCTCTCAATAGTTGGACCCTTCCCAATAGTGGACACTTTTAAATTCATCGGCAAAAATGAATGTACATATATGAGTTATAACCTCTTAATACTTAATATTGGACGTGAACACTAAAAATTATGGGTACCAAAATTAAAAATTATCTCTCATTAATGGACACAATACATGTACATATCGAAAATGTTTAAATTATAAAAATACTATACTAATCTTTTATACATTTCTTTCATATTTTATTTTATCTTAAAGGTTTTCCTATTCGAAAAATGACAAATGGTTTGCAGGTTATGTGTTCGGTCATCAGTTGTGAGCTACACATTGTGTGAATATGTACCTACGTTAAAATTTTTATAAATATTAATTATATACCCACTTTTTACTATACATACAATATACATATTATTTTTTAATAAATAATAAATAATAAATATTTACATATTTCCATATGTACCAATTTATAATGTATATATGTTAACAAATTCTCTATAGCGTCTCCCTATAATTTATAAAGATTATTTAGTAATTTCTCGCAAATGTCCACTACATAAAGGTTTTTTCAGCAGTGGACAACTCCCTAAAAACCATTTCTGTCAATATTTTAAAATTTAAATTTAGGGAAAGGGGCGCTAGGATTGGGAAAGTGTACACATCTTTGAGTTGTATGTTATGAGAGTTTAAAAGTTTAAAATATCTACCTATTTTACAAATAAATTACGATCTAATCTAATCTTGTCTTAACGAAATCGTACTGCTCGTGAAATTAATAAACAGCAGGATCAATTAGAATATTTTGAAAAATGTGTTAATATTTCGTTCTGTGACTATATTATAATTCGTTCTGACCGCACCCGTTAAAATAATAGTTCTATAATATTATACTACAACTGTATGTTTCCAGTGTGTTTATGTACGTATACAACATTTTTTTTTTTTTTTTTGAACCTAACGCGTCCTATATGACCGTTATAAAGAACTGTAAATTATTTTAATTTGCTTTGGATAATTGGTAATGGACACTATATTATATTATACACGTTCACGTGCCACGGCAGAACATACTATGCGTATAGCATATTATCATAACACATCAAAACACTTAGTTCGTCATAATCGTTGGGACTGGTCGTCAAATCGTTGAATTGTAATGATTTGATTAAAAAAAAAGAGACCACGCACCCGTTCATTAATAATAATATAGATGTTTCCGTGGTGTTGTATAACGTCTGTTATGATATTATAGCGTTGCACCGAGCACCTATAGGTACATTATTTTAATCACTAATTTTCATATTCCCAGTCGTGTCGACCGATTATGTAAATATTATGTACTGCATAATATCGTCGGTGAAACTGCAATACCTCGTAAGTCCAAAAAAGTCGAAAATAAGATATATACATCAAAATATTCGGAAAAAAATACTCTATACGATTGTTGTGTAAATATCTCGTATATCAAATTTCCAAAGAGGTTATAAATGTCAAACAATATATCGTATGTCATCTATCAAAATTATTGATACTAATATCTCGTATCTCCGTGTCATAATACATCGTATATCAGTTTTTAAAATTTTTGATACTAACATATCGTATCTCATAACAACATGTTATCATAATTAAATTTGTTAATTAATTATTAAGCTTATAACTTTATTAAGCTACTTAGAATTAGTAATATTATTTTGTTTTATTGTGCGTCAACATGAATGCGGACGAGATCGACGATCTGTTAGATCAATTTGAAGATGATGGTAATTTTTCTATTTTTAATTAACAATCATAATAATATTACTTTGTTAAACCTGCTCATCATGATTTATGTCTATTTTTTTAATTTTTAGAAGACTTTAATGAAAGTATGGAGTATAACCCCAACCAGAGCATACAATCAATGGAATTTCAGAATGAAATGGAAATGAATGACTTTAATGAAGGTATGGAGTTTAACCCTGACCAGAGCATACAATTACTGGATGTGCAAAATGAAATGGAAACGAATGGCCCTAATGAAACCATGGAGCTTAACCCTGACGAGAGCATAGTACAATTACTTGAGGTGCAAACTGAAAAGTATACAAACGAAAGGATACGAGCAAAAAAAAGTATACCTGAAAACTGGAAAAGGAACTCTAACCAGTCATTGCGTATGAAAGGTAAATGTTATTTGGGTTATTGACGAACTTTCAGAAAGGCACTTTCAGAAGAACTAATTGTCTTCACCATGGACTTACAAGCTGTAAAGGTATGTCCATTCTTAAAAGCTAGTGCTCTGTATTACAAATGTAAGCTCTGTGTACACAATTTTACAGTGTACAATCTTGGTACCCATGAGTGTATGTGTTATTGGTGGGACGAAACTCAGTGTAACTTAACTGCTTCTGCCTTTACGAGTTGTATTATTGACCAATTATCTATGTGTTACAACAAGAATCAAAATAAGAATATAATATTATGGAGTGATGGGTGCTGTTACCAGAACAAGAATACAGTTTTGTCTAACGCGTTACTCGAGTTTTCTGTTACACATAAAATAATCATAGAACAAAAATATCTGACCAAAGGTCACACTCAAATGGAGTGTGACTCTGTACACTCATTAATTGAAAGGAAATTAAAAAATACAGATATTCATCTACCATCTGACTACATAAAAATAACCAAAACTGCAAGATCAAAACCATTTCCATATGAAGTAAAAGATTGTGATATCTCTTTTTTTTTAAATTATCAGAAGAATGTTAATAGATATGATAATATAAGGCCAGGAAAAGCTGCTGGAGATGCAACAGTTACCCAAATTAAAGCTCTCCGTTACAACTGTAATGGCACTATAGATTATAAGCTGAACTTTGATGATGAATATTATAGTGATCTCGCCATTGCTCAAAAGAAGAGAAAGACAGTAGAAATTCATTCTCCTATTATTTATGAACAATTCCATGAGTCTCAATTAAAAGTTCCTAAATCAAAATGGCAAGATCTACAGCAACTTAAGGCAGTGCTACCAAAGGATTGTCATCCGTTCTATGACCAAATAAAATCTTTATAATTTAATTATCTTAATAAAATGTAAATATTATTAATATTCATTTTATGTTAGTAGATACAACTCTTTTAATTTTAACTGCTCATGCCAGAATTGTATGTTTTTGTTTTATACTATAATGTTAATGTTATTCTTTTTTTACTGCAATTACCAATGAGTAGTTCAAGACTGAACTTCTAATAAGAGGTACACAATTTGTTTTAATGTTAATTTGTAAATGAAAATTATGCTTTTTTTCTAAAATTACCAGTGAAAATGTTCAAGACTGAACCAGTATACATAAGTACATAAATTGTTTTTATTTTAACTGTTCATGCCAGAACTGTAAGTTTTTGTTTTTGTTTATACTATAATGTTAATGTTGTTGATATTTTAGTGCAATTACCAATGAGTAGTTCAAGACTGAACTTGTAATAAGAGGTACACAATTTGTTTTAATGTTAAATTTTAAATGAAAATTATGCTTTTTTTCTAAAATTACCAGTGAAATGTTCAAGACTGAACCAGAATACTTAAGTACATAAATTGTTTTATTTTCATTTGTTTTAAATTTTAATTAATAAAGATAACAAAGATATTTTATATTATTCTCTATTCAATTTATAGAACAAATCTTAAATTATTATGACAGAATTTTTTGTCATACTGTAGTAAAAACCCATTACTTAATACCTAGTATGTCAAATACATTTATGAAAACTATGAAACAATACCTCGTAAGTCATAAAAAAAATTATCAATAATAATAATTGGTTAATTTATAAAATAATTAAAATATAACTATAATTTATAGATTATTTTCATATATTTGTTGCAAAATTAGAAAAATATTGATTTTATAAACACATTTATGTGTCTCCTGAAAAAAGTAAATTTTGGACTTACGAGGTATTGCAGTTTCACCGACGATATGTATTGTCTACACTGATTGCGTATGACATTATAACGCGCGTTATTATAAGGGTTATGATTTACAACAAATATTATTGTTACGCGCATAATATTGTGATTTTATTTTTTTTTCGGTTGTTTTAGACTTTTAAAATATGTTCGTGTGACGCGTCCGTATTAACGTTCTAAAAGTGTGTGATGGGTATTCACACGCGTGCACATTAACAATAACGTAATAATGTTATAACTTGATACACCCAGTGTGCGCTGTATTTTTAATACGATTTATTTTATGAAGTCTGTGGCGTTCGTGCTGTGGCGCGATGGTACACAATGACGTCAGGACTTAGAAGGTATATACAATATGTACTTTTGTTCACCAGATGTCATCGGATAGGTCATAATGTATCGCACGTCCAGCGTGTTTCCATTACACATTTTTCTGGTTTCGACGTTGCGGAGCCCATCACACGCAGGTTCTGTTTGATATACGATTTCCTGTTCGTATACAAATGTTAATCAAACTACAACACTTTCGTTCCGAATTTGTGTAAGTTCTAATTTTATAGGCAAATATCGTAATAATAATACCGACGGTGCATTAACGCACGGCAATGCGTATTCCAATATAATACATAATGCAATAAAATTAGAAGCCACAGCGTAAAAACGGACAGCAACACTCTACGATCGATTTTAGAATATTTGCGGTTAATATAGTGACGGAATTAAAAAAAAATATAACAACAATAAACAAGTGAGACTATTCTAACATCATGCGATATGTCATTTTTTTTTTTTTTTTTTTTTTTTTTAAATAATATTATTGTGCACGGCCAATCCATGCAATGCAGCGATGTCACCGATTGAAATATCTATAATCAGCGACACAATGATATCTATATAGCTCGACTTACGTTATACATACGTTTTTAATTACCTACGTTTACCTACTCACAAATCGTCTTACATTATTATTTTTATGCTCTAACTAAATCGACATTTAAAAACGCATTCGTAACACAACAAGTCAACACCAGTCAGATAAATACGTACATTGTGTACACAGTAGTCGCCGCAGTAGTAATATTAATTAAAATTAACGTCAACGTTTGCGCATTGCTTACGGGCCACGCTACAGCACTACTACAGCGTACATATTGGTTCGTATACCTAATGTGTGTACAGTGCACACATAAGTAAATTTAATATTTGATTTATGACGAATACTGTGCACGGGAAACGAATTTTAAATCTACTCCTGGATGGTTTATTTTTATAATATACTCATAGTAAATATTTATATTCAAATAACGATCAAACACAGGGTTGAGCTTAAAACATCGGCTGCTTAGTACTCGATTATACGATAATACGATATAATATTATGTCATAAATGATAAATCAGTTTAGCGGTTTATTAAATTTTGTTCAATCAATTTTTTTTTTCAAATGTTTACCGCTATTTAATATTTATTCCACTCTTACGTCAACGTTCGTCGTTCACATATAGGTACACTTAACATAATTCGGTCACGCATAGTTTTATCTGTAAATGGGAACTTCAATAATTCACTTCGGTATATTGTGTATTATACGATATTCAAGTATAATTTAATTTAATCGAATCAGTTGTATTTATACCATAACTACATGTATAATCAATATATCATGTTCAGTAGTACCTATATAGTCACTTGTTTATTATTTTTTTTTATTATTATTATTACGGACGTTTTACTAACAAGAGTGAGTCATTTTTTTTTTTTTTTTTTAATCAGTAAATTGTATTCTCTTGACTTTTTTTTATTTCAATTCTACGTTCCGACGGATATTGTGTTGCTGATTTATAATGCATTTCAAATTGGACAATCAACCATTGTAGGCTATATATATATATATATATACGTATATATGTGTGTACACTAAAATTTTACGATTTTTTTTTTTTTTTACAATTTTTACATATCTATATCTACTTGGCGATATTCGCATGTAATATATACAATCAAGGCGATTAGTATCGTACATGTATGGTGATCTACCGGCTTCCAAGTTTATTTAATTAATAGAAATTAGATAAAAGGAACTCAATAGTTACAAAATGTATGATATATAATTATTTAGAAGTCACTGACTCTAACACCACCATGCAAAAATGTTGGTTTAGAAATGGTTCTACAAATTAGTAACCTGCAATTCGTAATTATTCATAATCACATATTTGGAATTTGGAATTTAGGTATATCTGCCCAAAATAAATTTTTACTTGTGCGCCCCTAAAAATAAAAACATTAATTTTAAATTAAAATGTGGCAATTTTAAAGTAAATATTATCATTAGTTAAAATGATTTGTACTATATTAATAAATATATATTACTACGTTTCCAGCTAAACAGAATATATTTTGTATAATATATTAATATACCTACTACGAAGTAATATTTATTTAATTTTTATATGATTTACAAATGTATAATATGATATAACTATATAAATTATCGCTTATAAGCTATAAGTTATAACATGTCACATACGTATATGAAGTTATTTGTGATACAACAATCATGATACTATATTACATAATATACATCTGATAAAATCATTATAGTTAAAAAGTTTTATATATATATATATTATTTGTTAGCCCAACTTATACAAACTTATTCAAGTATATTTCATGATTAAGTTCTACTACTTGTGAACGCAGTTTCTTGTATGCGCCGGATTAAAAATTGGCTATGGAAAAGTAAATTCTACAGTAAATATTTACTAATTTATAAAGATTAAATATCGAAAGTGATACATAACAATCAATCAGAATAATTAAAATATAATGCTGAAAAATACATTTAAATTTAGTGTAATCAAAGTGTAAATACAATTCATTCAATATTAACTTCACACCGCTGACTTACATTTAAAATTTTTTCTTTACAGTCATCATATAACTCCTAGCTATCATTAGACTTATATGAATATGCAGTATAGTGATTAGTTGTGTTGAACTTTAGGTTATATTTCATTGTTGTATTGAATGCAATAATTACTCTAACCTTATATTCTTTTTTTTTTTAACTGCGACTTTTTTGGTAATATTTTCGAGAAGCATTTTGAAAGGTGTCACATAATTTTGATTGATTGCATCTATTGGTTTACTTTCAAGATCTTTACTTGTATCAGCGTAAAATCTTGTTATCATATAAGAAGATTAAAAAATAGTTTATTTTTAAAAATTAACTATCATAATAATAAAGTGTATTTATAATATGTTACCTGTTGGCATAGAGTAAAATTCAATTATATTAAATATATTCTTCTATAGTATTATAATTGAATCTTTCGTAGAATCACAAGATTTACACAATTGGCAAAATTGATATACAAAATAAAATAGAAAATATTATTGATTCAGATGAGATACGTCAATCTCGTAGCTCAAAAATGATTTAATTATAACACTAGGAGAATATTTAACTATTGAACTTAGCTCCATACTAGCAAGTAAAATATAATAATTATAATATTAAATATATACTTATTTTTAATCTTCTTACATGATTACAGAGTTGTATGCTGATAAAAGTAAAGATATTGAAAGTGCACCACTGGATACTATCAATAAAAATTATGTGACGCCTTTCAAAATGCTTCTCAAAAATGTTACCAAAAATATCGCAGTTATAAAAAAAAGAATATGAGGTTAGAGTAATTATTGCATTCAACAACAACATTCATTCATTTACAATAACGAAACATAACCTTAGGTTCAACACAACTGATCACTACGCTACTTATGCATATACGTCTAATGACAGATGGGAGTTATATGATGTTACAAAGAAAGGAGTTTTAAATGTAAGTCAGCGGTGTGCAGTTAATATTGAATGAATTGTATTTACAATTTGTATACACTAAATTTAAATATATTTTTCAGCATTATGTTTTAATTATTCTAATTGATTGTTAAGTATCACTTTTGATATTGAATCTTTATAAATTATTAAATATTTACGGTAGAATTTACTTGTCCATAGCAAATTTTTAATCCGGCGCATACTAGAGAAATTACGTTCACGAGTAGCAGAACTTAATCGTGAAATCTACTTGAATAAGTTTGTACAAGTTGGGCTAACAATTTATATATATAATAAATA